AAGTATTTTGTGTATTGTACTGAAATGTCTTCAGGATGGACAGAGAAGCCTTGGTTACAGGCTGAGCCCCGATATAGTTCAAGACTTGAGGCTTTAAAAAAGACAGGAAAAAAAAAAAAGAAATAGTGGTGTGGTGCATATTACTAGTCTCCCACCTACCTCATGGAAGCTGAGAGTACAGAAAGGGACGGGACTAGTGTTTGTTATGCACAGATAAGCTTTTTGATGTTTTGGAATAAGCACATGAACTTTCTGTTAGTAATATATAGTGAAGGAGTTAACTTTTAAGCCATGCTATTGTGCTTAGCAGGATTTCTAATAGCATGGAAAGACCATAAAAATGTCTGTAAATAGCTTGTTTTCCTTTTAAAAAATAAATAGTGGTCTGACCGCTTAAATAAATCAATTCTACTATTTAAACTCACAATTCAGTGCTTGCAGCCTGAAAGACTCAAATATTCTGGGAAGCTGTTGGAAGCAGATGCGCATCCGTTAAACCAAAAGTGAAACCAGTTACCAGAACTTGGATATGAAACCTCTTCAGCTAGAGAAGTATTTTTTAAAAAAAACAAATTGTTGCACTGACCTAGATACTGAAGTCTTGGTTCTGTGTCAGTGTACCAGGTTATAGCTGTGCCTGTAGCTGTAAGGTTAATGACTAATTGTTTACTTCTGAGACAAAGCTAGATACTTACCATCAGCAATTATAAATCTGAAGTTTCACTATAATATTACTCTTTAGAGAGGAGAACAAGACTGATCTTAACTGTCATTGTTTAACAGTGCAAGCACAAGTCCAGCTTTAATAACTGTAATTGCTCTTGTGCAGAATAGCTACTGAGAAGGGTAAGGTAGGAAGCCTGACCACTTGAAGACTGAGGACTCATCTGGGCTCATGCTGGGCTTGCTAGAGCACTCTGTGCCACTGTCCCCATGAAGCTCAGTGGAAAGCTTTTAACGCTGATGGTGGCACCAGCATTGTGGGGACCAGTGACAGGGATCAAAAAGGTGGCAGCCGTTCCATAGCTGGAGGATGAGGAGCTGAACCCAGTACAATGTGAAATGCCATCTGTCTCTCAGCCCAGGCACCACTACTAAAGGTACAGAAACCACGTGGCTGGATCACAAGCTGTGCTCTACGCAGGCTGTCAGTAAACAGTCTCTTCTGATATTTTCCTGTGTACACTCAGACTGGATTTCCAGACTTGTGTATACACTGATACCTGCATCACTTTGTGATATTTACTACCTTATATAAGTATTCGTGTTGCTGTGTAAAATAGTGCAGTACTCGGCTAATGCAATTTCATGAAAGCAGATGGTTCTTCCACTGAAAAACGTGCATCTAGTTTAATAGACTGAAATGGGTATGCTGAAAGCAGTTGTGGTGTTCGTCATTTTTGCTAGTCTTCCTGCTTTATATATAGATCCTAAAGATTTTGTCTTAATAAGCATTTTTAAAACTAGTCTGGAGGTTCCTTCCGTAATCTTGCAGTTGGGTTTGTGTTGGGACACTGAAGACAGACAGGATGGGGGAAGGAAAAACTTTGGGAAAAGGGATAAAACTGAAGTGTAATCTCCAAAAATGGTGGTGGAATAGCTAGGAAGATGGAATAATTAACTTCAGAACTTAAGCATTGGCCAAGTCTTGTGAATGAAAAATAGAGCATGGCAAAATTATGCATAACAGCAATCTACGTACATTTTGGGAAAACCTGTCACTCAGTTGGTCAATTATGTTCAATAAACTTACACTTGGAAAATAGTGCCAATCTGCCTGCATATTTCTTATTAAGCTTGGAAGAATGAAGTGTGTGGTTCTGGAAAAAAACCAAAACAAAACATCCTGCCTTTACAGTCAAATTACTGCGAGAAGGTTTTAGGAGGTGTATCTTGTCAATAATAAAAGACAAGGTGACAAAATGGTGGTATTGCTTAAAGCTGCTTTGTGTTTAAAAAATAAACAGTATGCTGACTTGAAACAATCCAGTGATACCTGCATTTTTAAGTAGAGTACATGAAGGTTGTACTAACTCTACATCTGCAAGCATTGCTTTTCTACAGGTGAAATCAGTCAAATAATCACAGCATGGTTTGGGTTGGAAGGCACCTTAAAGATCATCTAGTTCCAACCCCCCTGCTGTGGGCAGGGACACCCTCCACTAGACCAGGTTGCCCAAAGCCCCATCCAACCTGGCCTTGAACACTTCCAGGGAGGGGGCATCCACAACCTCTCTGGGCAACCTGTTCCAGTGCCTCACCACCCTCACAGTAAAGAATTTCTTTCTAATAACTAATCTAAATCTACCCTCCTTCAGCTTAAACCCATTACTACAGTAATGGTAGTGGAACTATTATTTTTTTGTTTTTTATTCTTCGTTCCTACATTGACACTGTTTTGGTGCTTAAGGGACATAGTGTAGTTACAGACAGTACTTCCAGACCACTATCTTCAAAGAGCTGCTGGTGTAAGCTCTTATCCTTCACTGAGTACAAGGCTGTAGAGGTTCGTAGAGCCGCCTCTAGGCTCTCTGAATGTGTGTCTGTCCCACAGGCTCAGTACCGTTGACAGAAGTTTTATATTGGACTTTCATCTCTGTCCCCCAAGTATTGAATTAAGGTTGCTTTAAAACCAGTTCATTCAGATATGAATGAACATCCCAAAGTTTATAAGCAACAAACTTAAGTGTGTTTTCTTTTTTTGTTGGCTTCTGGCTAGTGGTATGCTGCTTATGCAATAGATGAAAGGCTTTTTTTTGTTGCCTACTAGTAGTGTGTAGTTGCTGTACTAGTAAGTGTTTGGCAGCTAGGGAGCCTGGAAATACACAGAAAAGTGAACCTTACTGTAAAGCTGGCTATCTATTTTCCAAAAAGAGAATTTATTTCTAATATACCTTCAATAATTCTGAATAGCTTTACATTATGATAGGGCAGAGGAACCTTAAAGTCAATGAAAGAATTTTTTGGGGGGGAGGTGTGGTATCTTAAGCTTCTCTCTGTTGCTTCTTGTTTAGTCACACTACCATGCTTTTAGATTATGCAAAAAAAAGGTTAATCTGGGTTTTGTTAGGTTTTTATTTTCTTTCAATTTGCTGTCAAATAACATTGCAACTTAGGTTTTTACCAAAATATTTAAATCACTCAAATCATTTATCAAAACAAAACATTAGAGCATAAAGGCATCTAATTCAATACTGCAAAAAATGGCAAATACCATTTTAATAACTGATATTACTTTGCTGCTTAATAAGAATGAAAAGTACCATTTTATTTTCAGTCCTCTCCCTCTCTCGGGAGACTGAAATACTGATGCTGTTTCTCTAAATGGGTGGTTCCTTAATTATTTGATAGCATCAAAATGTAACCCTTGCAGAAACTGCTTAATAAGAGATCTTTTGCAGTGGCACGTCTGATTTGTATGGAACATTGCAGTAATTGGCTTCATAGGTACTGTCAGAGTGAACTTTAAATGAAAGTGGCAGTAACTAGTCCAGACTTTTTTGTTTTCTTCAGGGTAAAACTATTAGACAGTAAGTGACTTACTGGTTTGATCGCTTTAAATTAGCAACCCAATTTTATACTCTTTTAATTATCATTTAATTGGATTGCCCCTTCAAACTCAGACCCTGGCAGCCAAATGAGCTGATGTAGTATTTGGCACAATTGAGGAGGTGAACATTTCTTCTATAAATCTTTCTCCAGAAGATATGTTACTGCAGCATAGACACTCTTCTCTGGAAGTGCCAAATCTGCTTTAATATTTCCTTTCTAGCCTCTAAATTTGCACCCCCCTCATTTGTGCGTGACTAAATCCGCTGTTTGAGTGGTTGTTGTACCTGAGGGGGCTGAAGCCTCCAAAGTAAAGCTTTAATGTAAAATGTAACTAGACAGGACATACGAACAGTTCTTAAATTAGATTCAAAAAGCTAATGTTGGTATATGTGTAAGTTGTTTAGGAAAGTGTGTAAGTTGTCCCTGTAACTGTTCCAAGAGATTAATTGTTATGTCCTCGCATATTCTTAGTGGAGGGGGAATTAGCGTTGCAATCTGACCTTTGAGAGTAAACTAGAGGACAAGACAAGCATTGGGGATGCTTTTAAAAAGGGACTGGAGGGGAGAAAGGAAGAGAAAGGAAAAAAGCCAATGGTTTAGGGACTGAAGAAGTAGCACATTGAAGCCTTGCTGGGCTGGGAGGAAGAGGCCTTTCCTGAGCCTTCAGCTACAGCCCTCTCCCCTCCCTGGCAGAAAGAGGAGGCAGGAAAGCACCAGCAAAAAAAAAAAAAAAAGAAACCAAGGAGGAAAAAGGAAGGACATGTTGCTCTCCCATTACTAGTTCTGGACTCAAAACTTGGATAGCGTCATTCTCTCTGGAGCGGATTGCATGTGTGGGCTTAAAAAAAAAGTCCACCATCTGGTGGCTGGGCTTCTTTTTTTGTCAGCTACTGGCTCCTCTGTAAACTGTTTTGGAAGCGAGGAGGGAGGGCTGTTTATATCAACCTTAAACTAGTTAATAGAGGAATCTCTTTTTTAACCTCCTGTAATCCTCAGGGTTAAATGTTTTCAGCTCATAGTTCAGTTGCTGGCATTCACATTTGCTCTGTAATTCAATTTAGATGATGCTGCTTGGCCCAAATTAGAGCAGACTAGTACAAGGAGCTCGGTGCATGTAGAAACCGATCGCTAACTCCATAGTTAAGGTCATCCAAGTAGGGTTGTAAATATTTCCCCTCAGTTTTAAGGTATAGTTATCTGGCTTGAATTCACTTGTGCAATTGTGATTTATTACTGTCATCTTATTTATCAGATTTCTCAACTACTGAAAATGCTAGCAACCTTATTGTCATCACAAAAATACTGTAATATTCTTATTAATCCGTATGGTTTCAATTCTAGCTGTTTGCCAATTATTTATTTATTAGACTATTTTCTGAATAGCTTCCAGCTACACATAGTTTGGAGAGATGAGATTTTATTCATACATGTATCTACTTATAGGTGAGGAATTTGAAACTGGAGCATGAGCAGGAGAAAAACAAGATCTTGTCAGAAGCATTAGAGACACTAGCTACCGAACACCATGAACTAGAGCAGTCTCTGGTTAAGGGATCTCCACCTCTCAGCATCATCAGTGAAGAGCAGTTCTATGATGCTGTTTCAGGTAAGTCATGATGCCCAGAATGTGAGTATGTAGCCAGCATGTGTGTTTGAATGCATTTGGGGGCGGGGGGGGAGGGAGAGGGGATGGGAACAATCTCACTTCAAGTGAAATCTCTGTCTTTCTAATGTGGAACTAATTTTAAGAGAATGCTTCGTGTGCTTTATGAGCAGACCTGTGAAATTTTGGCTAAGTTCATGTGTAGAATCATATTGTTTCACCTTACCATGACAAAAAGTTACAAAACCACAGGGCAGTCATGACAGCTCTGCTTGGGTGACTACATCCTTTTTTTAAATAGCAAAACTTAAGGCTCCTATTTTAGGAGATGTAACTGTATCTGGTAGTCTTCTGACTTGCTTTCTGCATGGTGGTGTATGTTTTTTTCTTTTGTTGTTAAGATTGGTCCATAAAAATCACTAATTTTGAGGGATAATGAGGTTAAGAAAGGCTTGTTCTATTTCACTTTTGTGTATGTTGTCACAGGTGGAAGAAAAGGATGAATTGAAATTCTGTGTACGTTTCTGAAATATTTTTTCTTTCCCTCTCTGCTCTTCAGTTTAGTGTATTTCATATTTTTGTGTGCAAAACATGCAAATAGTGATTTTTGGAAAAGTCTGAACTGCATAAGATTATAGTAACTTGGCATTTGTATAGAGAGGCTGTACATAGCGCAGCTCAGTAATAGCTTTAACTGGGTGACCTCGCGGCACACAGCTTTCTGCAGCTGTGAAGGATATGGAAAATCCTGAGAGTGAACATAGTCTAACTGTAGCAGATAATTAGGTTGTGATGGCATACTTCACAGGCAAGTATGAGGTTACTTTTTCTGTGAGCTGAACTGTCTGATGCTTCTGACAGATGAGAAAAGCAACATTCCCAGACTGCTTGATAGGTGTTCTGCAATTCACATCTTAAGCAGAAAATAAGAACAGGCAAGGTGTGCTGAAGTATAGCTCTAGCAGAGGAACACAGCGTTAGTAGCAGTAGACTTTGCTGCTTGGCACAGTAACCAATTTATCAAGCCTTCAAGGAGGAGCAGAGATTGAGGAATGCTAGAAACAGGTTCCACAACCAGAACCAAAAGAACAGTTCTGCTGAAGGGCCTGAGGCTTTTTTGCTTGTCGTAACAAAGCAGAGAATAGTTGTTCATCTGGTGCTGCTGGAATGTAGTCTTTCCAGCCAGGCTTGCTTTGTGTGTATGAGAGAATACTCAGCTTTAAAGAGCTGTTGGTTTTTACATCTCATAACTGACCTGGTCTCTAAAGCTTTTTGAATGAAAGCATCCAAAGCCTTCTCTGTAGTTGGGAGAGGTGGTGTTTTGTCAGTTGAAGCTGCAAACAAATCACATTGAGTATAACTGTGAAACTTGTTAAACGTATGTATCTGTGTGTGTATATATATATTAAAAACTACATATATGTATAACACATGTTAATTCTGTCTCCTTCAGGAGAAGTTACTTGACATAATTCATCTTGATTGCAATTTAAATAATTTTCTAGGACAGACTCACTTTCTTGACTGTCAACTTCATCAGACTTGTGTTAAATTCTCTTCTCTAGGTTGTTCACATTCAGTGCTTTGCAGTGATTAGGGTCCTGTCTGTCTCTGAAGGTTTTTGGGTGAAGGGAGCTCTGATATTTTGGAGGGGTGGGAGCTAGAGAAAGGGAAATGTGACATGTTTTCCTGGCTGTTGGATGCATGTTAGACTTTCACCATTAGCACAAAAGGAATTAGTTTTTTGCAGGTCTGATTTGGGGTAGGGTTTTTGTTCGCTAATCACTGGGATCCTGGTAATGCTTGCTTTCTTTTTTGCGATGGCTGTGGAGTCTCAGCTAGAAGCCTTCTTGTCTCTATGACAAGAATACAGTGAGAGCAGAGGAGTCTGGCTCAGAGTTTGGGAATGGGGGTCATCTTTCTTGGACTAATGAGACAGGGGAAATAATCATAAATATTTTCATAACAGAGAGCAGTGACTAAGCCAAATTGTCAGAAGCTAAATACTTACAGTTCCTCAAATCTAAACTACTAGGGCTTTGTCTTCAAAGCTTTTGTTAAACCTGATTTGCAATCTGATAGTACTTTATTAAGTTAAATGATACCGATTCTGGATAAATAGACATATTAATGAATTATCTGAATTTAGGAGATTGAGCAAGCACCAATGTGTTTTAACAGGGTGATGTGAAAAGTTGCACTGTTTTCCAGTGGAAAAATGCCACTACTTTGAGAGTATTTTGTCTAGGTTTTTTCCTAGAGTATTTTTTCTGCCATCTTTTTCTAGTTACAGGTCTCTGAATTTTCAAATCTCCACCGTAGGAGTGAGTTTAGAAGTGAGAGTATTGCATAACTAGGTTTGCACTTTGAGCTGAGCACTTTGAGCATCATTAGCTTTGACTTGACAGGTTGAAAGAAGAAACCACTGCTGCTTTTTTTTGTTTTTTGAAAGAATGCTGTCTACATACTAGACACTTCTTTACTTTCAACAAAAGTATCTCTGTGACAATTCAGAGCAATGCGAGACTTTTCAGACAGGTTTTTGAACCAGTGTATTAGAAAGGATATGTGCACAGCAGCAGCTACTTGTCCCCATTTACCATGCTCTGATTCAGGTTGTAGTGCAATCTGACTACATGAACCAGACTCCTGAATGAAGCTGAATCAGAAGATACAGTCTGGTTGCTATTGGATACTCAGTCCATGGTAGGAGAGTAGAGCTAATTTGAAGAGAACACCACCAGGAATGTGTCTAGTTCAAGTGTCAAGTCCTCAGCACCATCTGGCTTCCAATTCTGCTGCAACTGAGCCATGCTACCTGCTAATGTTGGCATAGACTAAACTGATCACCACTAAGTCTATGTTGTCTAGTTCTGTTTGTAGAAATTGTGGGCACAATTACAGAAATACCCTCTTTGCCAAAACTGGGGTGAGGAAAATGTTTGCAATGTGGTAAGATTGCTTACTGAAGTAGTAGTTTATTTGCCGAAGCCTCTTCTCTTTTTATTTTTAAGTGATACGCTGTTATCAATGCTTTCTGACTGTTGTGGTAACTCCTAAATCCCTGTGATGGGAGAGAAATAGACGTGGAATGAGAAAGGAAGAACCTACAGGAAATGGGAGTTACTTTGTATTACCACCAGTGTTAAGAACAGCAAAGTTAATGGTGTTATTAATCTAAACTCCGATAGCAGGTCAGTTGACAGTGCTTCCTAGTGCACTGATCCTGTCATCATGGGAGTGGTGGAAATGTGTAATTAAACTCAATAGCATATGGAGTGCTGGAGCTGTTGGTTACAGGATTGAATGCTTAACGTGTCAAACTCTTCTGCTATGTTTAAAGCAGAAGTAGGGGGAAGCATTGGGGAAGGAAAGAAGTGCTAAACAAGTAGCAAAATTTAATAAGACCCATGTTATCATCTAGAGAGCTGGAGAAGTTATTAGCTTTGATTAAGTATACAGACCTCAGGAAGCATATGAAAATGGCATACAAGTGCAGAGTCCATCACAATGCTGAAAAATGGCTGAGCGGGTTAAGAATTAAAGGATGAAGGTACTTGGGTTTTGCCTTGCAGATAAGATTCCCCAATTATATGCACACTTCACACCCAATTTGGGAAGAACTTAGAACTGTCCTGATTTTTCTCTTTAATGGGTTTTTTCTGAGAGGTGGGGGATTTCTGCAAACACAGCTTGTGTGTATGCGTGCGTGTGTGCATTCAGATGGTATTGATGGTTTTACATAGATGTGATCTAACCAGAAAAGTAGTTATTTAACTATGGGACTATTTAAATTATACTAAAGCCAACCTCTCACAGTACAGCTTCAACTGCTATGTACCGCTAATGGGTACTGCGTTTATAAATAATGCTCCTAAATGGTACCAGTAGTAGTAGACTAGTTCTGTTGCTGTTGTCACTGACTAGTTTGTCTCCAGCTATCAGCTCACTTAAAAGTAAAAATTGTACAAGAAAGCACAGAAACTTACTGCCCTTTTCTTCTATGCCAAGTGGCTTTTTTTGAATATGTATCAAAAATACTCCACAACCTTTGTGAAAACACTACTGGCTGTGGACTTCTTACCTTGAATATAGTTAAAAGAATGAATTCAGATATCTCAGAGGGATGGGAAACATCTGGTCAGAATTCAGACCCAACCTTGCCCATGGTTAAACCCTACCTAAATAGGTGTCTTTATTAATCAAGTACCTTGGCCAAACTTTTCTGTCTGGAACTGAAGACTTAACAGTTGTTGCAATAGGAGACGAACTTCCCTTGAGTTAAGTTTCTGTCATTGCTGTTTCCCTTTGCTCTCCCACTCTTGCAAAATGTAGCTGCTGTTTTTACTGTTACCCTGACACTTCAGGTTTCATGAGCTGGAGTGCTTCCTAGTCAGCCTGGTCTTGTCTTAAAGATCACTTAAAAATTTTGGCTTCTGAACAGGGACTCTTATTCCTTCTCCCCCCTCCTCAGCCCACATCCCCTTAAGTTCAATAGAAAAAAAAAAAATCTCATTTTCTCCTAGTCATCTGTTTGACAGCTGCTCTGTAGCAACTTGTGAATATCTATCTTTTTTTGCAGTGACGGGGGAGTATGCAAATCTTAATTCAGAAAAGAGTTAGCTGCAAGTACACAGGGAAAAGCTCAGTTTGAGCTGCCTGTTGATCTGTGCCCACAGTACAATACTAGGCTTGTTCACTCTGACACCTAAACAATCTCTCAAGGCTTGTCAAGCTCGTTGGGTCAAAGGAGGCAGCTGAGGTTTAGGGATTGGAGATTGATATCTTTGGCAGGAGCTGTTGTAGCCATACTTTCTCAATGAGAGCCATTTCTCAGGAAGATGGGAGAGGTGTCTCTAGAGAGCAATTTCTTACAACAGTGTCTGGTTTTATTCTTCTGCTGTGCTGTATAGCGTGCTCTTGTATTAAGTAAGGCTTATGCCCTGGAGAAGGCTGGCTGGTCAGTGTCTACAGCTCTGAAGAGGTTTGCAGGTGCTGAGCTCAGTCCAGCATAATTGTGTCTCAGCACTGTAAGACTAGCATTAGGAGAACTGATCACATGCAGTGTTTAAAAATCCTTGTTATACTGAGATGCACACCAGAGAATGGTCAGTGGTTCTGGTGACGGTTACCTATTCTTCCCTTTCTGCCTCTGGAGTCCTAGGGCTGTTGCGGAAACTCATATTGAGGGAATTGTATGTCCTGGACTCTTGTCTGAAAACAAGATAGTCCCAGGTGGTACGGAAAAAGAAAGGAGCCTTACAGGAGGCTGACTCTTTGCTTTATGTTACAGGGTTTGCTTCGTGCTTTTCCTGACATCATAACTGTTGCCAGAGTTGAGCAGCTCTTTCAATGAAGAGGTGGAAATAACTTCCCTTGAAGGGATTTCTAGCTTGTCATGTGGTCAGGATGCTGAGGCCTAAGTTATGTTACGCTGCTAGATTGTCTCTTCCTCTGTGATACTTGGATATGCAACAATGTTTTCCTGACTAACTGGGCTTACAATCTCTGGAAAAATCTGTGTTTTATGTAACAAACTTGTCCACCAGTAAAAATTATTTTCCTTATCCTACTTGTTATATACAGTACGCACCAAACTAATACTTTCATATGTTATATCATAATTTGGCACAGAACTAAAGCAACAAATTTGGGGAAGCTTGTGCGAAGATTCTCTGGAGTGCCAGTCCCCTTTTTTTAACATATCTTCAGCACCAGCTGGCAGTTCTTTTCATTCCCTAGCAACTGTCTTAATTTCAGTACTGTCTTGATGAGGATAGGGATGGATGTTTTTAATGAAAGCAATTTATGCTTCTAGGTCTCACTCCCTTTAGAGAGGATGGAGATGTTGTGGCACAGCCCATCCATTCATTAGGATTTTGTCCTGCCCTTGACCCTTCCATGATCTGGATGTAGCAGAAAGTCCTCTTGTCACTGTCCCCTTCACCAAAGCAACATATAATTAACATGTTCTGGAGAAGCTGCTGGCATCATTTTTTTAGAGAAAACAAGACGGCACCTGGCAATGGACAGCTGTGACTGATACATTTTTTGAATGGACTGCTGCTTTAGCAGGTTTTGATTACTAGTTTTGAATTAGAATTGGTGTGTGAGAGAATGACTAATCTTACCATTATTTCTCTGGGTATTTGCAGCCAAGAGCAGTAGCATATGCTGAAA